ATTCAAATTTTGCATCTCTCAGGTATTGTTCCTGAGTAAAAGAATCGTCTGGACTTTCTTCATTTACATTTATTCCAATGCTGTCTAATTCCCACAATTTATGCACTGGCTCAACACCATCCTCTATGGAAGAATTATACTGGGGCACGATTTCATGAGCAAGACACACAGTTATGGTATTTGTAGTTTCTCTTAGTCATGAATTATTATTACGAGAATCCTACCATGCACATACATGGCCTCCTGCAGTCTTCAAAAGGGTGACACCACATTTCTTTACCTACCCTTACAAAGGATGGCTCTAATAGTCACTACCTATCAAATATTTATTGGGCCTACAGAATCATCATTACCCCAGTAAGGTGCTAATTTACATTATGTGAAGTTCTTTCTGTAGCTTTACTAAGCCCTACTGTAGATATTTTCTCTGGAGTCTATCTACAATTACTGCATTAACACGTTTTTCTCATTGCCCAACTGACAGTTACATAAACAGTGTCATACAATTGAGACCTTTTATCGTGAGAAATCAGATAATTTTAAAGTTGTGGGATCTCCCATCGTACTTTCATACCATCAAGACATTTACGTTTTATGAAAGTATGCTGTATCCCTGGTCCAATAATGTATTTACACTTTCTAGTTTATGCCTTTTATCATCAATTTTTACTGTAACACAGGTAAGGCTACTTCAGTAAAACCATCTTATTTAATACTTAGCTAGCAATTTTTACATTAGCTACTGTTGTGTCGGATTGTCAACTTATCGTTATTATCAACATTTCATATAGACCTTTACACATAACTATATGGTGTCTTCCTTTGTGACATTGATAACAGTTGTTTAATTTGACATAATAATCCTTTACATTGTGATTACCCAAACACCTGATACATCTGTCAAGTTCCTCCAATCTTTCAACTTTATCATTCCATGTATGCATTGCAATTCTTGGAAAAATGAGTACCCTTGCAGAAGAGACAATCTCTCTTTTCTTTGACTGGTTTCTTATTAACTGGGCTACTCTTAGGAGGGTACTTATTCTTCTTACCTTGTGGAGAATCATTATTTCTGATTCCTGCTACTTGATATGCACCTATGTAACTCTTTCTAGGAAATAAATTTTGATTATTAACATTCTGATAATTTTTCCCTTTGTGAGACTTGACAGATACCTCAGAGTTATTATGTGTTGCATCTTTAAAATGAGTTGGTTGGCTGGTCTGCAACTGCACAATTAATTCTTGTAGACCTAGTCTTATTTCCTCCAGACCAAAATAACCCTTGTGATATTTATTCGAGAGTCATTCAAGTGTTTTACAGCTTAATTTATTCTGTACCATGGCACTCAATAACCAGTCTGATTCCTTCAGATTATATTTATTACTTAAAGTTTTGAGAGTGCTCTCCAGTTTAACTCTAAACTGCTGTAAACCTTTGTAAGTGTGATCTGGAGATTTTAAATTAACAATGATATTCACTAGATCCAACCTACTTTGTTCTATAATACCAAAAGTGACTTTCAACAAGTCAACTGCTTCCTTGTAAGAGTCATCTACATTGGTAAAGGCTTGTATGAGTATGTAAGCATCTCCTCTTACCTGTCCTTTGAGGTAAAATAATTTAGTTACACAGGCTAGGTCACTCCTGTCATGCACAGCTGCTTTAAAAATTGACCAAAATTCCTCCCAATTTTCACCAGGATTAAACACAGGCAAACACAATTCTGGGAGTTATGGCAAAGACATTATTTGTTGGAGCAGACTGACCAACTGCTTGGTTTACACATTTTAATCTATTCAAGGCCTGATTTTTACAAGAAAGAATCTTTTCCTCTAATTCATAATACTGATTAATCATGAGATCTATTTCAGTCTCATCTACACAGTTTACTAATAAATCTCCTTCATATTTGTTGTAATATAATTTGTATGAATCATATCTATTCCCTAAAGCATCTAAATACAATTTTAAATCATCAGTATTTACAGTTTCTTGATTCATTAGTTCCAAGCACTTATATGCCTTGGTTACATGAACTTTTCTAGCCTGTATTGATGCTTTCTTTACTCTATATTCCATATGTTTGTCTTCTATATTAATTTCCTCATTTTCAGCCATGATGCAATGTATTAAATTCAACTTAATAACACTGATTATGTACTAAATTATGCACTTTATAAAGGTAAATAGTACAACTTACCTTTAAATAAATTCTAGCTACTTGAGCTTAGCAATTACATGTAAAAAATTGTAATATAAATTTTAAATACACATTAATAATGTTAGCTACACTTGAGCTTAGCAATTACACATGTAAGAAATTTATATATAAATTTTAATGTACATTATACAAATCTTTAGCCGCCTTGGCTTATCAAAATTATTATACAAATTAATATAAATCCTTGCAGAACTTGGCAGAGCAAAATTAATATTATACTATTAATATAATTAGCAACCTTGCCTTATCAATTACACATACATTGATATAAATCTTGGCCAGAATTGTCTTAACAAATTAATATTGTAATAATTATAATCCACTACACATTAAGTAAAATTAATATTATACACATTATATAATTAGCAACACCTGGCTTATCAATTACACATACACTGATATAATCTTGGCCAGAATTGTCTTATCAAATTAATATTATACAAATTAATATAAAACTTAGCCAGACTTGACTTATCAAAATTAATAGTGTAATAATTATAATCCACTGCACATTAAATAAATTTGTGAACTTAACATCCACCTCCTTCTGTCATTTCACATATAATTATTAAGTAATTAACCAATTAATGACTTCACTAATTACCTCCGATTCAAGAAGGACCAACGGGCAAATTAATTGTGGAAAATTGCATTTATCTGAATGTAACTAATTATGTACATAACAGTAAATAATAACAAAGATAATTATTATTTATCAATGTTACATAGACAAGTAAGAATTTGGGACACCTAGGTCGCAAAAATGTCACCCTTCGATACCTACCACTGTCATAACCACACGTTGCTCTGGACCTATTAATTAAATGAATTATACATCAGGAATTCTGGTAAATATATAAATTCGTGGACTGTATATTAAAAATGATTATATATAAACACAATTACATAACAGAAGGAAAATATATCTTAATATCACTCACCAATTTGACTGGAGATTAATGTGTATTATACCCAGAAAACCTCACTGTCTAAATTTATGAAATTACTGGCCAGAATTAAACATAAACAGACTTATCTGAGGTTCCTGGAGCTGTGTTGTCCAGTCGCCTGATACTCAAATTATGCAGGAATGCACATCCAACAATTTCGCCTCCTATTTGAGAGGTGTCAGCCCAATTTTAACCTCTAGAGCACGAAAAATTCTTCCCATTCACTCTAACGTTCTGTTCAATTCAAAACCAAGATAGCGAGTCCCGTCTGCGCAGACGCAGGCTTTCCGTTTTCTATGACATAAATATTATTAAATACAGTATGGCCATCTATTTACATATAAATACTGAATTTCTGGAAAATATATACAGTATTTTCCACATCAACCATGACAGAGGAAGAGTTTCCAGCTCTGGGAGCAGAACATCGTCGCGCCAACAAGAGAAGACCACCAACACAGTCAAGAACCATGGGAGTAGATAGCCAAGAAGGCGTAAATCACAACAAGCAACTATGTGCTACTGTGCCTTGCAGGCAGACTTCCCTCCCCCCCACCTGCCTTACACAAGCAGACACTCCCTGTTGTTCCTCAGTACCAGCAGACAGGCATTGTGTCACAGTAACAGACTGACATCACTTCCAGGAATTCAGCTCTCCACCAACACACCTATGCAATAGAGTGAATAGACAGAACGTATACAAAGGTTCATCCTTCCTCTTCAGGTTGATTTGTTGGTGACTTCTTAAAGCCCATTATGTTGATAAACGATCGCATTATACTGCAATTGTGCTTCTTTGCTTCTCAGCAAGCCAGCCACCTCAGCAAGCCAGCCACCTCAGTAACAGTAAGTCACTACTTACCTCAGCTCTCCAGTCTGGAAAACAGTCGGTGAGGGACATCTATGAGCACTAATCACAGCCTTCATCCAGGTCATAATAAGACCAGACAACAAAAACTATACCTTCAGGAAAATGGTCCAGTAATCACCGAACATAATGTGTACTAGACAAAGACGGAACAGAATTAGCAGACTAATTAACCAAAAGGATACAACAAGAAAAACGGTTCCAGGAGACACAAATAACTGCACAGATTGATGAAATGATCCAAAGAATTTCGAAATGCTAGAATGAAATGATCTGGAGCTTGAGGAGCGAGTCATTTTGTAAACTGCCACCTGAGGGGAGATCGACACATTCTTGGTATACCTATCCCATCAGAAATTCAAGAATGTTCTTTCTCCTATATACGGGTTATTTGTGTAATGTTCCAGCCACGGTATTGTGCCCTTTTGTTCTTTATTTGAAGAATTAGACGAATATGCATCATTTGGGTATCTTTATTTGTAGACATTTCGCCAACCAGTCGCTTTATTAATACAATACAAACCTGTGTCTAATTTTCATTGTGTCGGTATTCATCATACAATCATGGAATCTCCGACTGATTGCTGTCAAGGAATGGAACTTCAAACAGTACTCGTACATACACCAGACAGAACAATAATCAGGAATGTCTTAGCTATTTACAGTGGTTCTGAGAGCTGGAGACTTTATGCTCACCATCCATTGTTTCAATCTGTCATTCTTACAACTGCGATGTAGCAATAGTAGGAGTGGAGAGCCTAGTTATTACCGTGAAGGCCGACTAGATGTGACCTTCAGGGAGGGGAATTTTACTGCCTTTGCTAAGGGGGAAATCCACCCTACCTTCACCAGCGAGTATATTTGCTGATCACCGTAAATAACAGTGACAGCATCAAACAAAAATAGCATCACTCCCGCTACCACCACCTCCATCAATACCACTCAACACAAGCAACTTCAGAAGTACAGACGAAGTGAACTTCACAAGGTAAGCAGCACTCCGGGAGAGCACTTCACTTCTCGTGTCCGCTCTGACCAGCCAACAAGACTGAAGATGGCGACTGCTGCTGCTGTTGCTCCTCTACTGTTCCTCTGCTTCTTATTCACCATCGTCAGGTGAGCACCAGCGTGTCTCACGTGTCTCTTGTTGCAGTTTCTCACATTTATAAACTGTAGCAACACATCGAAAAATCCCAGTTATTATCTCTCATTTCCGAAGAGAAGGCATATCAACCAAGTTTTCATAGTAAGGGAGAACCAACATATTTTTAGTTGAATAAGGCTGGTTGGTTCTCCCTTACCATGAAAACTTGGTTGATATGCCTTCTCTTCTTAAGACTTTTAATATTAAAGTTGTATTAAAAAATCTTGATACAGTAAAAAAACTTTTGATAAAGAATTCCCCCCAAAATGCTGATGGATGTGTCTATAAGATTCCTTGTAAAATTTGCGATAAAGTTTATTACGGTCGAACTGGTAAAAATCTCGAACTAAGATTAAAACAACATAAATATAGCATTAGAACTGGACAAGATTCCAATGCTCTATTTATTCATGTAAGAGATTTTAACCATCCAATTGATTTTCAAAAAGTTGAGAAAGTAGTATCAAGCAAGTCCATGGTCGACAGGAATATAATTGAATCTTGTTTCATAAAAAGCAGTTTTGACAATAATATGAATATTTCCTTTGGTTTATATAAATTAGATCCATTTATAATTAATAGAATTTGGGAAGAATTTAATAATACACTGGACAAATAATAATTTTTAAATTTTCTTGGGTAGAATAGTTTGTGGGTGAGTTGTGCAAAGGACCTATCCAAGTTGGGTCGCCGCGCGTCAGGTGTTTAACTGTTGTGGGATCTGATAGTGAGGTGTTGGCCAGACCCCTTATATAGCTTCCTTGGATGCTTTACTTTCATAGTTCCTTGATAATGTGAGTAGTCACGAAAGCGCTTGGAATTTCTCTATTCTTTCAGAGTGGTTGTTTCTGCATATATATATATATATATATATATATATATATATATATATATATATATATATATATATATATATATATATATATATATATATATATATATATATATATAAGTATATTTTTTTCATTTATGTTAATGTAAAAATTAATAATGTTGTACCAAAAGAACCTTAGAAAACTTACCTAACCTTATTATAACAAGCGCAATTTAATTTAGCCTAACTCAACTCAATATATTTTAGATAAGTTTACAATAATTTAATTAACAAATACAATGAAATATATATTTTTCCCTAGGTTCAGAAGGATTTTTGCGAAGTTTTTGCATACACAAATTTTCACTTGCCTTATTCGGCAAGAAGAGCGTTGCTATGAGAAGATATCTTTCAACGGTTTAGTCCCAACTCCATATACAGATTACTTAATAGGTTAAATAATGGATTTCCCACAGCCATTCCATGCCCTTGGACATAATACTTTCCCTCAAACGCAAACTTCCATTCATCTCCCCACAAATTAATCAGATCAATAATGATATTCTTGGGGAACAACAAAGGGAACTCATCTAACTGTACTTCATTGTACGATAACATGAACTGGGACTCGGGTAAACAACGCTGTAACATCAAAACTTAGTAGAGTTTTTAGAAATATTCAGATTCTGCAATTTATCAACGAGGTCAACGTTGATTTTATGTTAGCTTCAAAGATGTTGTCTAACATAGGCGTTAACACTTTGATTAGCCATTTGGACAAGTTATATGTCGCGAACCCACAAAGGAATAATTGGGTTTCTTCCGCTTTGGACTGTGTTCGAGATTTGGTCACCACAGTATAGAAAGGGTAATCACCCTCTTACTCGTGTATCTCACATAGCTTCGTGTGGTTCCAGTGTGTATGGGCTGACGTGTTGGCCGTGTCAAGGCGTGGTTTGCCCTTCTATCGACACGTACGACTGTCCCAGCGGGGTGGTGAAGAGCGGTTGCGAGTGCTGCCACGAGTGTGCCAAGGTGAGTGCCCTCGAGTATTCTTGAGTGCCACCCTCCCTCTCTGAAGATGTTAGAACCAATAATACAGTTGATCTTGTCCTTCGCAGGAGCAAGGGGAGAAGTGTGGAGGAAGCTTTGATGTGTTTGGTAAGTGCGCAGAAGGTTTAGTATGTGTGAGACAGGTTGGTCAGGAGGGTCGTCCTACCTTCATAACCTGGGAAGGAGTGTGTCTCACGCCCCAGCAAGCTGAGTCCTCCATCACCAGCAGTACTGGACCTCCCCGTGACACTCCTCTACCCGCGAGTACCACCACGCCCAGGACGTCGCACCTCAAGAGGAGGTATGAGGAAGGAGTGTTTTATGTGTGTGTGTGTGTGTGTGTGTGTGTGTGTGTGTGTGTGTGTGTGTGTTATGGCTGACAATGAATTCTTGTAAAGGATGTGTCTTACAGTCTGTGTTGAACACAATACAACTGAACTCACAAAAGCAAAGTTGGAAAGAAAATTGGGTGACGTTTCGGTTGTCTCTGGAACCCTCATCAAATCACGAGCTAGAAAGAAAAGTGAGGAAGGAAGAAACCAGGTCAAAGTATTGAGCGATGAGGTCAAGGTCAAAGTCCAGGAAAAAATATAACTCTTTCCCAATTGTATGACCTTGTAGGTTTAGCGCTTCCTTTTTAATAATAATAATAATAATAATAATAATAATAATAATAATAATAATAATAATAATAATAATAATAATAATAGTAACTCTTACCCAAGATTTTTTTAAATATTTTGCGCATTTTTAACCAGGAAAAACTTATAAAAAAATAAAAAATATTGAAATAATTGGAAATAAAACACATTAACTATTTTTTAATAGGAATTTTTTTAATAAAAAATAAATAGTTAAAAAAAGACTTTTTTTAAAACAAAATTTTTTTCTTTATGTTTAAGAAATTTTAAGTTGAAATTTTAATTTTTTTTAATAAAACAAATAATACTTTTTGATGTTTTTAGACAAAATAATAGCATTTTTGTCTTTTGGCTTTGTTAAAAAATGTTTATGAATTATGTAACAATTTCAAAAAATTTTTTGGGAATTTTCCCATGTTAAAAACACGGTAAGAGTGTTTAAAAAAGGGGGAAAAGGGTTTGAGAAAGGTAAACTTGGGGACCCCAGAGGGGGCAGTGAGAAAAGGGAAGGGGAAAAAAGAAAAAGTGGTATACAGTGAAAAAATAGCAGAAATAACTTGTTGACGAGTTAGACATGTGGGGAAAAAGACATTGATGAAAAGACTGTGAGAATAAGAAGTATGAATAAGACTTTGGTGAAAAGACGTGATAAATAAAGACATGTGATGAATAAGTGTGATGAATAAAAATGTGATGAAAAAGACTGTGATAATAAGACATGTTAATGAAAAGACATGTATGAATAAGAATGGAAATAAACATGTAAAAATAAGACTGTGATAAATAAGACATGTGATAATAGACATGGAGTTAAGACATTGATGAAAAAGACATGTGATGAATAAGACTGTGTGAAAAGACTGTGTTTAATAAGACTTAAAAATAAGAATGTGATAAAATAAGCAGTGAAAAAATAAGATGTGTAATAAGCATGGATGAATAAACATGTGATGAATAAGAATGTGATGAATAAGACATGTAAAAAAAGAATGGATGAATAAGACATGTGATGAATAAGACATGTGATGAATAAGACATGTAATGAATAAGACATGTGATGAATAAGACATGTGATGAATAAGACATGTGATGAATAAGACATGTAATGAATAAGACATGTGATGAATAAGACATGGATAAAAAAGAAGTGATAAATAAGACATGTAATAAATAAGACATGTGAGGAATAAGACATGTGATGAATAAGACATGTGTCTTATTGATCATTTTGCCTGCATTCGGTAATATTAACGTAAAACGAGAAAAGACTGTCCTCAAAGCTCTTTCCTCAAAAAAAGCGCTCTTGGGTGGAGGAATTGAAAAAAAAATACAGTTTAAAACCCCTCTTAAGAGTCCAAAGAGTTGATAAAATACACATTGCAGCGTTGGGAAAATTTTTTTGGGAAACGTTTCGCTACACAGAAACAAGAGGTCACAATTGGAAGTTGAAGACTCAGATGAGTCAAAGGGATGTTAGGAAGTATTTCTTCAGTCATAGAGTTGTCAGGCCGTGGAATAGCCTAGAAAGTGACGTAGTGGAGGCGGGAACCATACATAGTTTTAAGACGAGGTTTGATAAAGCTCATGGAGCAGGGAGAGAGAGGACCTAGTAACAATCAGTGAAGAAACGGGGCCAGGAGCTATGAATCGACCCCTGCAACCACAAATAGGTGAGTACAGTGGCTTCATCGTGGCGAAACATTTTAACAATAAAGTTACCCAAGTGTTGTACATGTGTCCACTTTACCAACTTGGTTCTCTGAACCATTATTATTATAATCAAGGGGGAAGCGCTAAACCTGTAGGATTATAACAGCGCCTGTGGGGAGGATGGAAGGTATTCTGGGTTAATTCAGGGAAATGGAGCACAGATCCAGTTCCCTAGATCAAGAACCCCTCACCAGCATCAAGGAACCTTCCTTGAGGGGGGTTCTCTAAACCAACTATCTCAGAGAGATCAAGAAAATCAAGTTACACACCGTAAACTTAAATTAATAAAGCGATGTACGTAGAGCAAACATTTAGTATATAAATTAATGTAATAAATAGTTACTAACAATTCTTGGCAGACTTTCATAAAACGAAAAACATTCTCAATGTTTTTCTTTTTTCTTCGCCACAGTATTCCTGCAGCCATCAACAACTCTCCCATCTACTGATCGGAAGTGAAAGTCATCAACCAGCCAGCTTCTCTCTGCAGTCGCAGTCACAACTGATGTGTTGACTAGTAGCAGTCGATCTCGCCTGCTGGCTGTGGCTGCTGCTAGACTACTACTACCAGACTAACTGCTGTAACTAGCACCAGCTGCTGCTAGACTACTACTAACCAGACTAACTGCTGTAACTAGCAACCAGCTGCTGCTAGACTACTACTACCAGACTAACTGCTGTAACTAGCACCAGCTGCTGCTAGACTACTACTACCAGACTAACTGCTGTAACTAGCACCAGCTGCTGCTAGACTACTACTACCAGACTAAACTGCTGTAACAAAGCACCAGCTGCTGCTAGACTACTACTACCAGACTAACTGCTGTAACTAGCACCAGCTGCTGCTAGACTACTACTACCAGACTAACTGCTGTAACTAGCACCAGCTGCTCTAGACTACTACTACCAGACTAACTGCTGTAAACTAGCACCACTGCTGCTAGACTACTACTACCAGACTAACTGCTGTAACTAGCACCAACTGCTGCTAGACTACTACTACCAGACTAACTGCTGAACTAGCACCAGCTGCTGCTAGACACTAACTAACCAGACTAACTGCTGTAACAAAGCACCAGCTGCTGCTAGACTACTACTACCAGACTAACTGCTGTAACTAGCACCAGCGCTGCAAAGACAAACTACTACCAGACTAACTGCTGTAACTAGCACCAGCTACCTGCCGTCTGCAGAAAATGCTTGATTTGGAACTCTCTTACCTAACCATGAAAGCGTAACGACACATACAACCATACTGTGCTTTACTCTCATTTGTTGTTTTTGCTTTTATGAAATATACTTTACTGATAATTTAGAGCCATATTTAAAAGGTGTTTTATTTTCCCCTGGCGTAGCTGTTGTTTGTAGACTCGGTATTTAATCTTTTAACTCAAATAAACGTATAAAGGTACGAAGAAAAGCCTAAAGAGTTTTTATTGGACAAAAACGAAGCAGCTGCTGTGTGTACATGATCATTATTGCTTTGTTCTTAGTCACTTTTCCCATTCAATGCCAAACATATTTCCCATTACCCATTTTCCTCACCTTCCTAATGCAGTTATAATTTCACTCTATACTACTAAAATATGATTCTCCCACAAACTATATAATTTTTTATCAACTATTTCTAAGAAAAACTTCTATCTCAAATATTCCAGTTTCATTTGTCTTATTAAAAATCTTGTAGTGATTGAATGGTGTGGGTAAACAGACAAGTCACATTAGAAAAACTGCAAAACTTTAGTCAGACGAAGTATCCCCTGCACGCAGGCTTTATCAGGACTATTAAAATGGGACATAATTAAAGACACCGTTGAATAAGGTTCGCTTGCACTACAGGTTTCATCAGTCGCATTGATCACAATAATGAAGATATTAGAAGTAGAGGGGTAGTTTTAGGTAATTCCTCAGCTTTGATGGAAGACGGTCAGTGTCTTAGTCGAAAACAGAGCCAAGAGGTCAGAGGCTAGTATACCGGATCTGAAAAATCATACCTGCTAATAGTATAACTATAATTATAAACAGGAGAGAGAGAGAAGAAAAAGTCAGGTGTTAAGTCTCTTCAAAATAAACTGTGCAGTAACAAACTCGTATGAGGAGCAATAATGGTTGTAAACACAACTGTTGATGTAGCACATATGCAGTTGTTAAAAAGGTTGTAGCAACGGTGAAAGTTTGTAGGAGCAGTGAAAGTTGTAGCAGCAGTGACGTTTACAGTAACAGTGAAAAGTAACTGCAACACCTCTCACACTCCTCCAACACCTCCCACACTTCTCCAACACCTCCCACACTCCTCCGACACCTCACACTCTCCTCCAACACCTCCCACACTCCTCCAACACCTCCCACACTCCTCCAACACCTCCCACACTCCTCCGGCACACTACACACTCCTCCCCACACCTCACACTCTCCTCCACACCTCCCACACCCCCTCCAACACCTCCCACACTCCTCCGGCACCTCACCACACCTCCGACACCCACACTCTCCTCCAACACCTCCCACACTCCTCCAACACCTCCCACACTCCTCCAACACCTCCCACACTCCTCCAACACCTCCCACACTTCTCCAACACCTCCCACACTCCTCCGACACCTCACACTCTCCTCCAACACCTCCCACACTCCTCCAACACCTCCCACACTCCTCCAACACCTCCCACACTCCTCCAACACCTCCAACACTGCTCTAACACCTACCACACTCCAACTTACTCCATGGATTTTGTTTATAATTTAAGAACTCCTTATCCTGATCAACTTCAAATTTTAAATACTCATTTACTATAATTACGAAGAGTTTCGTGGAACCATCAACATGTGTAGGTCTCCGAGGGTCAGTGGTACACATCCTGTCTTAGATGTCATGCAAACTCGATAACCTTAGAAAGCCTCCTCTGATCAGCTTCAATAATAATATATTGTACTCAGAAGACAATTAAGACTTGTTTCTGTGCCTATTTCAGGTTCTGGTTATAAGTGCCCATCCTCCGGCTTCTACTTCAGATAGATCAAAGCCACGAGAGGCTTTCTATCAAGGCTGAGGGACTGATTACCTCATGTTGCACTGTCTGTAACATGTCATCTCTTTGATGAATAGTACATGTGTGCAGCACTTTGGTATCTTCATTTCCGTACTGTTTCTGTTGTAAACACACCTAGGTGCTGCACATGTGTCTTATTCATCAGTGTTGTCGTAACTGTCTACTACTGTATTATTACTATATTGATAAATGTAATTTCTTTATTGAACTGAAAAAAATAAACTTATTGAAAATACGTCTTCTGATAATAAGGTTAACACATGTGTCTCTTTCATCATAACATTGACTGTGTGGAGATGTTGCTGGAGGTTTTTATGAGTTGTTTAGCGTAATATCCAGCTTTAAAAAGCTCTGAAAATTGTAGTATTTTTGCCTCTGGTTCAGATACTGACCTTGTAATGGTTCATAAGGTGTGAGTGCTTCACCTACTGACCTTGTAGTGGCTCCCAAGGTGTGAGTGCTTCACCTACTGACCTTGTAGTGGCTCCCAAGGTGTGAGTGCTTCTACCTACTGACCTTGTAGTGGCCCCCAAATGTGAGTGCTTCACCTGCTTGACCTTGTAGTGGCTCCCAAGGTGTGATGCTTCACCTAACTGACCTTGTAGTGGCTCCCAAGGTGTGAGTGCTTCACCTACTGACCTTGTAGTGGCTCTCAAGGTGTGAGTGCTTCACCTACTGACCTTGTAGTGGCTCCCAAGGTGTGAGTGCTTCGAGTTATAGAACTGGTGAGAGGTTTGAGCTGTATCTCCTGATTATATCTACCGTAGTTGTTTATGTGGTTGAAATCTAGTTCACTTTGCCTTGACACTGGGACTTCTAGCTCCTGGCCTTGGTATACTCGTCTAACAAGCGATCTTTGAGAAATATCAAGGTGAAAAATACTCGAGATTGAGGGACTGACCATCTCATAATATATCAAGGCTGTCTGACTGATGTCGTCACGTCTACTCTACTATTTTTCACTTCTACATTCAAATGAAGAATCCTACAAAAACAAGTAGACGTGTTGACAATAAAAATACCCAATTATTACACATGTCTTGTTCATTTGTGTTTGATGTGCTTGGACTCGTAACTTAGCTGTTTAGGGGGTGATTGTCAACCTCTTGCCCCTAACCTAGCTGTGTTTAGAGGGCTAAGTTCCAGTTCCTGGGCTTGTTTAAAGGGTGTTGAAACACTATTCTTGGCTATTTATCCCTGCAATGTTTGCAGAGATCATGCTGCTCAAAAGTGGAGAGCCAAGTCATTACCGTGAAGGTCCACTAGATGTGACCTTCGGGGAAAAGAACTTTGTTGACCAATACTTAATGGGAAATCCACCCCCACCTTCACCCGTTACCATTTTTGCTAGTCACTAAACTAAAAAAACGTATCCAACAATAACAGCATCAAACAACAATAGCATCACCACCACCACCACCACCACCACCACCAGCACCACCAACTTTAAACCCCCCCCCCCATCCTAACCACAACCAGCATCAGAGGTACAGATGACCGTGAACCTCTCACAAGGTAAGCAGCACTCCGGGAGAACACTTCATCTCTCGTGTCCGCTCTGACCAGCCAACAAGACTGAAGATGGCGACTACTGCTGCTGTTGCTCCTCTACTGTTACTCTGCTTCTTATTCACCATCGTCAGGTGAGCACCAGCGTGTCTCAAGTGTCTCTTGTTGCAGCTTCTCACATTTATGAATGTTAGAGTAAACTGTGGCAACACCTGGAAACAACCCCAGGCGTTGCCTCACCTTCCCGACAGAGGTCACTCTTTCTTTACATATACTGTGAACAACACTCGCGCACACATACACACATGCTTAACAATTCGCAAACAGGCGAAATTATTTACAAACCTTGTCTCAACGTCCACAGCAGGACTCGAACCTACAAACTCTGTAACAGAGTCCACAGTACTTTACCACGGAGCCAGAACCCAGACAAGTATGGGAGCCTAGACGGAGCTAGCTCCGGCTAGGCTCCGTGGTCATCTGGACTCTGTTACAGAGTACTTTACCACGGAGCCAGAACCCAGATAAGTATGGGAGCCTAGACGGAGCTAGCCCCGGCTAGGCTCCGTGGTAAAGTACTGTGGGGTCTGATACAGCGTTTGCAGGCTCGAGTCCTGCTGTGGACGTAGTTACATACACGCATGTACACATTCTTTCTTCTAAACCCCTACCTCGTCGACTTCATTGCCTGTATTCTCACTAGTCCACCTTACTCTCAACAACTGCTTGCACTACCCAATGGTCCTTTCTGCCGGTCATTCACTTTACTTCTCGCGGACACTCCACCCCGGACACTCCACCCACGAGGACCACAACACCAAGGTACACCACCACGCCCAGGACGCCGTACGTCAAGAGGAGGTAAGAGGAAGGAGTGTTGTGTGTGCTCACCCACCTATTTGTACTCACCCATTTGTGGCTGTAAGGGTCGATTCACAGTTCTTGGCCCCACCTCTTCGCTGATCGCTACTAGGTCCACTCTCTCTATACTCGTATCTCTTCCTAAAGCTAT